ATATTGGCTTTTTATGGGCAGTTTTAGCTGAGTTTTTTTTGTTTTGTTTTAAAAGTTGCTTTGACCATATTTTACTTGTGACAGATACCCTTAAATTGTTCCTTAAGCTCTTTGTAAGCCTTAGCCCTCATTAGTCCTCCCATTGCCCATTGTCAATTCTATTTACTGTTTATTGCTGAAGCCTCTCTCATAGTGTTGACTTACTTAATATGGTCTTTTATTTCAGGTTGTCTCTACTCCTGGTGTGCCTCACTGCTTTTATCCCAAGAATTATGGCTACACCGCCAGTAACATTCAACACAGTGCTGAGGGTGTGACAGCTGATCTGCAGAGGAACACAATCTATCCTAATCCTTATGGGTCTCAATCACCAGCTGTTGACCAGCTTCGCTTGGTAGTGACCTACCATTACAACAACATGCTGCAGTTTAAGGTAAACTGTAATCTCATGGAGTACACCCCCCCCCCTTAAGATGCTGCAGCTAACAAACCTTCCCAAAGGATGGCACTCTTAATAACCCCTTTTGGTGCATCCTCTCAGTTCCATGACATGATAATCCCATCATTGCAGCTGTTGCTGGAGAAAAGTACTTTCAGTATGCAGACATCAAAAGCTTATCAGCACTTACATTTTGCTCTGTTTTTTCCAGGCACAGGTTCATGCTTAAGAGCTCTTTGTCTGAGTGTTGTTGTTGGGTTTGGGTTTGTTTGTTTTTTGCCTGAGAGCTTTCTCCACAAAAAACCCGTTCTTTAGTGCTTAATCGGAGCAAACAGCAATTCAGGTTTTCTGCAGATTGCCATTTGCTCCAATTGAGCTTTAATGAGCATGTTTTTTACGGAAAAGTTCCAGAGCAAAAATTAAAATTAAAATGGGCCTTCGGACATGGAGCATTTAAGAGCAGACTATACCTGGAAAAAGCAGAGGAAAAGTAAGTATGGATAAGTGCTGGGATGTATCTCCAGTGCATTCTACGAGAGTAGATCCACTGAAATTAATAGATGATTTAGTCATGCTCATTATTTTCAGTGGGTCTCCTTGGAGTGGAACTAACATTGCAGACAGCTCATTAGAATGTGCATGATAAGAAGCTTTGAAAAGTCAGTGCCAACAAGCAGAGCACTTCTACAATGGGGCAATAATAGGGCCCTTTTTCTCTCTGGCTGTCCTTTGCCAGATTGGTCAATACCATTTTTATAATTCTGTGAAGCTTTTGCCTGCTGAAGTCATTTTTTACTGTGATTTCTATCATGGATGTTTTTGAATATATTTTTAAAAGTACCTTTTACTAGTGTGCAATGTATTAAACTGTGATTTTAAATTGGAGTGAACTGTGCATGGGCATTGGAAAAGTGGGATAGAGATTCCCACTTTTTGGGTAATAAACAGTAGTTGAACTGTCCTTTTGCATTGACTCTTATAGACAAGCAGGTCCTTGTGATGTTTGGTTTTGTTACATATCTTATGCACGCTGAAGAACGCTCCCTTCTCCGTAGATCTATGATCCCAACCACAAAAGATACGAAGTTCCAGTCCCGCTCTTCACGCCAAGCAGCTCTCAAAGTACAGAAGCTAGCCGGCTCTATCAAGTGGACATTGTGAACAATCCATTTGGCCTTCAGATCCGACGCAAAAGCACAGGAACCATTATGTAAGTGGAACTTTGATTTTATTGATAGATTCATTTCAGCAAGGATCAGCAGGAAAACACCCTGAACCAAGGTCTTAATTTGCTTATGATGCTATGGTATCATTCACACAAATTCAGACAAGGAAGGGGTGTGTGTGTGTGTGTGTGTGTGTGTTGTTATTTCCACTAAATATTAATCAAGCATCCTGGAGTCTGCCTGGCCAACCATTCTTCCTGATCTCAAAAATGCCCATAGAAGGCATTACCTCATGAACACCATGCAGATAAAACATACTTAAAGTGCCTGGTTTCTCCCAGAGAATCCTGAGAACTGTAGTTTCTGAAGGGTGCTGGGAGTCATAGCTCTGCGAGGGCTAAACTACAGTTCCTGGGATTATTTGTGCTGGGTGTTGTGTGGGTGTTGAAATGTAGGCCTCAGGAAAGACTGTTTCATGCTACTACAGTGGTAGTACTACAGTGGTACTTTTGTTCTCAAACTTAATCCGTTCCGGAAGTCCGTTCCAAAACCAAAGCATTCCAAAACCAAGGCATGCTTTCCCATAGAAAGTAATACAGAATGGATTAATCTGCTCCAAACTTTTAAAAACAACTCCTAAAACAGCAATTTAACATGAATTTCACTATCTAACAGACCATAAAATGAAAGCATTAAAGCGTGTTCTCCTTCATGGAGAGCACGTGTTGCGGTGGGGGCCGCCAGGACACTCCAAAGTTGGGGGGCAGGCTAATTGATCGTTGGCCACTGATGTGATTGGGGCTTCCCTTGTTGTTGGGAAGAAGTTAATGTTGCAATTTATTGATTGACAGCCAGAAATACTAAAACTCCTTGCACGAGGCTAGGACTTCCTCTTTTCGCCTGTGCATCGGATTGCCTGTCCCTCCCTCCCTAGAATAGGGTTGTTCGCTTTGACCTTGCTATGCCTGTCATGGGGTCATCTGCTTTGGGGCAGGGGCCCGGTAGGAATTTTGTCCATCTGGCTGATTGGCTGGGGCCATTTGGTTTTTGCCTACTGTGTAGCAAATCATCACAACTTGTAAGGTTCGTGGTTAGGCATTGGTTTATGGTTTGGTTGGTTGAGGGGCATGGATTGGCTGTGCCTGCCCCTCTAATGCTGCTGCTCCAAGGGATTCCATTAAAGGAATTGGGGGGTAACTATTGCTTGTCCACTCTGTCAAAGGGGCTCGGGCCATAGCAATGAGCTCCTGGTTGCATTTGGGGTGAGGGCAGGTTCCCTGCTCCGCGTTACCCCCCAAGTGTATTCCCCTATTCTGACTTTCGCATTGTGCAGAATGTCAGTCTGTCCCCCATGGTGGGGGCAGATAGTCGCAACCAATGCCTATGCAACCACGCACAAATTTGTATTTTAATAAAGTTGTGGCCAAAATTATGCCAAAAATCTTAAACAAAAAATTCTGTGTGATGTGTGAGTTATTGGGGTGGACCTGGGGACCTCGACACACAATCAATGTTCTGTACTATAAAATAAATAAGATAGTATTGTAGAGGATAAAAATTTTAAAAAAAATTCTTACCTGTACTGATGATAGTCATAAAATGAAAAACAAGCCACAGTGAAAGTGAAAAACCACACAAACAAAAATGTAAAAAATAGCAAAAACAAAAGCACCAAATATCACCTCAGAACACTGCAATCAGAAATGGAAGGATTTAATTACAGTGGTGGGGGAGACTCAAATGAGCGGGGCAAGGGCAGAAGTGAGAGGAAAAAAGGCTTAATTACTATGCGGGGGACTCAAATTTGCTGCGCAACAGTAAAAACAGAAGCTCAGGAGTGCAGCGTTCGGATTCCAAGTTGTTCGGGAACTAAGTTATTTGAAAACCGAGGTACCACTGTAATTGCCTGACCAGTGGTCTGCACGCAGCAAACAAACTAAACACCCCTTTTTCTTAATGTATATATATAAATATATAAAACAACACCCTGCATCTTACCCATGAGAATTTTCTCGAACTTTTCTCTCCCAGTTGATAATTTTAATGTGTGTGTTTTTTCCTCATTAATTGAAGGAGAATGCTTGTTCATTTGTTTTGAAAAGGATAAATGCTTAGCCTAGCACTAGAGAGCTGCCAGTTCTAAATATGTCTCTCATGGATGGCATTCCATCATGACATCTATACTAACTGAGATCATTGTGAGGATTTGATGTGAGGTTGCTAAAGAGGGTTTGTGCTGTCTGCCTCCACCTATATTCTGCTTGTACTTTTTAGAAATTAATAAAATAATACTACAAAAATGCAGTGAGTAATTTTTTTCCAAATTAAGACGAATCCTGGTAAGCATTTCCCCCCGGAATGTCTCACCCACTCACTGAAGTGTGGAACATGTAAAGTATGTTCAAATATTTGCTGAGTGTTTTTTTTTAAAAAAAATCACTGCAGGCAAGTGCACATTTACTTTGCTAAAACAAATAGAGTATGGATTTAATCTAACATGTATGTTCACATCAAGAGGGCATTGCATTATCAATGTAGTGACGCAGATGTACCGGGGAAAATTGAAGTTCTGAACAAATTTGTAAATATCAAACAGAAACATGGTGAAACCCTTTCCACTTTGGAAGCAAGGACAAGTGTGTCATAACTCCATAAATTTGGGGTGTGGAGATTTTTGGAATAACCCGTAGGTTTAGCACAAACATTTTTGTTCTGATGACAGCTGGCCAGACAATTACTACATATTCTTTTCCAGAAGAAAAGTGTTCTCAGTTTGAATCTCACTGATTCTGTAATAAAATTAGGAATGACTCAGATCATTTCTTTGCACTTAAACACCAAAGAGGTTAAAGATGTGCCTGTACCATACTAAGAGAAAGGTTGAGAATTACAGAGCAGTAACCGGTAATATGTGCTACCCACATCCCGGAAACTGAGACCTCCGGGTATAGGGCGGTATATAACGTCAATAAATAAAATAAACTATATTCTTTCATTTTTCACCACCAGCCCTGATTGTGGAAGGAGATGAGTGGGAATGAGCTCAGTGACCCCTCACCTTACTCATTCACATGTTAATCCTCCACTATTCTTGCATTTCTCCTCTGTGTTTTGAGGGCTAGCTATCTAGAGCATGAAACCCACTCTACTTTAGTAGGCTCCCTGTATAATTAAGCATCTTGAAAGGGAAGGTTTTTACAATCTGTGTGAAAGCCTATTGGAATAGAGCAGATACCCCACTGCAGACATTCAGCCTCCAACATATGGGGGGCTGCAGGAATGAGAACATGTGGGTTGGCAAACAGCTAACAATTATGTCCCTACTCTGCTTTGGGGGTGGGAGAAAATATAAGGTTAGAGTAAGTTGGGTTTCTGTGTCATCCAGCCAAAAGGTACACATGCACGAATCTCTCTCTCTCTCTCTCTCTCTCTCTCTCTCTGTGTGTGTGTGTGTGTGTGTGAGAGAGAGAGAGAGACAGAGAGAGAGAGAGAGAGAGAGAGTATGTATATAGATAGGACTACCTCAGAAATACACATTTGGAAAATAACTTAATGTGAAGTTGCCACCTAAGTTTAGCTGGAGCCAATACCCTGGCTCTTATCTTGAAAATGTGGCCACGTGTTTTTCAGAAGCATTGGTTATTTCTTGGCTATCTCCCATGAGAAATGACCACTTTTCTGCTTTGCATGAGTTGCACCATATGATATAGACTAGGCACGTCCAACTCCCAAGAGACTGCAATCTACTCACAATATAAAAGAACTGGCAGTGATCTACCCATTGTCACTGGAGGATTGACCAGAGTTGTTGAGCTTTTTATTTTTATTTATTTTTAGAAAATTTCACAGGGGGTCCAAAGATTGACCAGGGACATCCTGCAATCGACCAATAGATCACTATCAACCTGTTGGACATGCCTGATATAGACTAACCATCCTTCTTTTACAGCTGGAATTCTCAGGTGCCGGGCTTCACCTTTAGTGACATGTTCATTCAGATTGCTACTCGCCTTCCGTCACAGTATGTGTACGGATTTGGAGAAACTGAGCACACTCAGTTCCGGAGGGATATGAACTGGCAGACCTGGGGAATGTTCACAAAAGATCAACCACCCGGTGTAAGCTGACTTTTCTGCTTCTTTCTCAGTTTGTGTCACTGTCTCAGTTTTCCTACTTTGGACTTGCTTCCTTTCCTAAACAGCAAAAATAACTTTGAATTTTTTAGAAAGCAATGAACATCTTTTAAAAGGAAAACAATGAGTGCTGTAAATGTATAATATGGTAATTTGGTCTATAAAAATGGTTGGGTTGGATAATGTTAGGAGTTTCCTATCAGATTTCTGTTATTAGGGGGTCAATATGGGTTTCTTTGGGCCAGAGTCTTGGACTTGAGATAGACCTGTTGACAGCCTTTAATGCTCTGTTCATATATTTCCATGGAAGTTGGGATGGCCTAAGACTAGGAGGTAGTCAGAAAAAAGTACAATGGGATGTGTGTATCAAGGTTGTTATGAATGGAGAACAGCAAAGTGCACTAAAGAGTGACAGAACTGAGTTTAGGCTCCCAAAGTTAGCAGTGTTTTTGAAAACAGGCTTCCTCTCCTTCAAGACCTGATGTGGTAGCAATGAACGTTCCAACAAAACATCACAAGCCACCTCCTCCTACAAAGGGAAATCAAACCTGGCTAAGTACTGATATCTCAAATGTACCTCTGCTCAAAGAATTGGGGTGGTGGAGCAGTATGAATTGTTCAGGACTCAATTTGAGATGGCACACACCTCGGGCTTCATCCAGATATGTGTATATTTGCAGAAGAGATATGTGGTCTTAGATGCAGAAGAAATGAAATCCTTCTGCCTTTATTTTTTGCAGTACAAGCTGAACTCCTATGGCTTTCACCCCTTCTACATGGGACTTGAAAATGATGGAAGTGCTCATGGAGTTCTTTTGCTGAACAGCAATGCTATGGGTAAAAGAACAACATTTTTAAAAATTAAAAAAATCTGTACAAAATTTCATTTTTTGTTCATACATTTATGGCAATTGATTATTAATTTCCTATTCCTTCTGGATTTTTCAGATGTCACCTTCCAGCCAACACCTGCCCTGACATATCGCACAATTGGAGGAATTCTGGACTTTTACATGGTTTTAGGGCCGAAGCCAGAAGAAGTAGTTCAGGAGTACACTGCAGTAAGATATCTGCTGCTATAACATCCCAGTGTATCAATGGAGATTAATTTCGTTTTTAGCAGTTTCTCTATATGTCCATCCAATATGGATGGATATTTGCATCATGAAGGCCAACTGTACAGACTGGATGCATCAGTTCTTATTGGTTTGGGGGACTGCTTGTGTGCTACCACATTTCATTGTTTCGTTTTGTTTCAATTCTATGATTTGTTCTTCATTTGTAGCTAATTGGACGGCCTGTTATGCCACCCTATTGGGCCTTGGGATTCCAGCTTTGCCGCTACGGGTACAAAAACACTTCCCAGGTTGCCGAAGTGTACGATGCAATGAGGGCAGCTAGAATACCCTACGTAAGTGCCTTGAAATTGTACACTGTTGCTGTTTGAACTGAACTCGAGTCTTTTAGCAAGGAAGGATCGGTCATTTATGCAGCCAAAATGAAATTTCCCATAATCTCATTCATTGAAAAGCAACAAGGAATGTAAGAGCGATTTTGATTTCTGTGATACTTACTATCACAATAAATGTAAGGAAAATAGGTGTGGAATTCAGTGCCACACTGTTAAAAACCTCCACCCTGAACAAGTATATCAGCTTTCCAGATGAAACGACCCCCCCTGCATAAACAGTTCTGGGATGTCTGCTGACTCCTTCCCCGAGACAATTCAGGGAAGGAAATCTCATTTTGCTAGCAAAAAACTGTGAATGAGTATGTTAGGTGAATCCCGCCATAAATTTTGATGTGCTCGTTTGTCTCACCCTAGTGTTCGCCAAGAAATCGGATATGAGATTATATTGTGCTGAGGAAGGAGTAGGATACAGAAGCTTGATTATGAGGGTAGAACAGAGAGCAAATTTACCTTTCACCCTAGTCTAATTTCTGAGTTCTCCTGTTTACTTTCTCCACTCCTATAGTGTACCATTTGGAGGTTTGGAATCCTATTGCAATGATGTCAAATCTGTCAAAGCTATCATTTATTATTGGCACTAAGTGGCTACCCCCCACCACCACCTATGGACAGAGTGGAATTTAATTTAGATATTATTTATCTCCATCCTCCTAATTCTTGTTTGGTTTCAGCTCCACAATTTTGAAAAATAATATTTTACATCACATTAAGATTCTGAAATGTGTGGGTTTTTTTTACCCCCTCCCTCAAAGAAGGGGGAGGGGCTAGTTAATTTGGCCAAGCATTAGAATACACCTCTGTGATGATGTTTGAAGACATCTGTTTGCCATATTCACACTTTGCATATCGTAGGAGTATGCTGAAAGGAAGTTAGGTATGCCTCTGGAGACCCCAAAATGTGAAACTGCTCTTGAATATTCTTAACTGTATTGAGGCATGTTTGAGACTGAATGTGAACTTCTCACTTTCTATGTTTTGAACCCTGAACATGCTGAGATTTATTTAAATTAATCATGATAAAATTCTGAGTATATTACCGGAGCTGCATTTTATTTATTTTTCACACGTATATTTGATGCTTTTATTTTTTTGTTTTATTTATTACAGGATGTCCAATATACAGACATTGATTACATGGAACGGAAGCTAGACTTCACACTTGGCAAAAACTTCTCTGACCTTCCAGCTTTCGTTGATCGAATAAAATCGGAGGGTTCAAGGTACATCATCATCCTGGTTAGTAATTTTTAATCATTCTTGAGTTAGCACTATGCACTGTTCGTTCTTATGCATTATTGGTCTAGTACCTCAATGGAGACACAAGCTGTGTACCTGTCCTTGAGGGGAAGTAAAACACCCTTCTAGAACTAGCAGTCTGATCAATTACTCAACCCTGGGAACTGTCTCTTCACAGCACCTTTGCCTCAACATGATTCAGTAAATAACTGAAATGTCCACCTCAGTCTAATATGCTATGGGAAATAGAATTCTGAGCAGTGTGGTCAGTCTATATCAAGATCTCCTACCCCCATCAAACCAACCAATATAGAGGATGTTGTGATGTAATGAATATTTTTATTTTCTGGATTGTCCAATTTGTTTTTAAGCTTTGTTGTATGATTTAGTGTTTAATGATTTTCTCCTCCCTCGTGGGTTCTTGAACCCTGAAAGGCAGGACAAAAATGGGAATAATGAATTAGGAGAATTAGCATTTCTACTGGTTTATTATAAGAGTACAACTTTGTCTTTCATTTTAGGATCCAGCCATTTCTGGCAATGAAACAGAACCGTATAATACGTACACAAGTGGTGTACAGGAGGACGTCTTTATCAAATTTATCAACAGCACAGACATCGCATGGGCAAAGGTACCGTCATCCTATCTGACCCATCCAAAATTCCATTTGAATTTACCATGACTCTGAATTCAGGAAAGCAATTTCCCACTTTTTTCCAAATAATGAATTGTTTCCAAATGCGTACAATAAGGATTTTGTGTGCGTAACTCTGCATTTCTTCCTTTCCCACAAGGTGTGGCCAGACTACCCCAACGTAACGGTTGATGAAAATGCAAGTCTAGAAGTTCAGCTTGAGGTACTTTTTAAAACTCTGTCTCTGTGGTTACAGAAAAAGTGAATTCTGAGCAGAATTTCATTGATCTTCCTTTGTAAAGCTATATGTTAACCATTACAATTTATAGTACTTGTGCACCATAGGCTTATTTGGTTGAATTTATCCTTTAGAGTTTAATGTAAGCTCCAAATTTGTCTTCTTATCACAGCAGATGATTTTGTTCTCCCTTCTCCTAAGCAGTTTCCATGGTTGTTGTTGTTTTTTTTTTGTTTTTTTACGTGCTCTCGTTTCTTATTGGCTGAGTGGGTGTCATTTATTATCTTCAATTCTTAGATTAAATATATATATTTTAAAACCAACACAGAAACTTTGCTGCAGGTTGAATGGAATGTTTTAAATAAATAAAAACAACTTTTTACCCCTTCCTCCGTTTTCAGTTGTACCGGGCTTATGTCGCTTTCCCAGATTTCTTGCGCAGTTCCACATCGCGGTGGTGGCAAAGAGAGCTAGTGGACTATCATGCCAATGTACTCAAATATGATGGGCTGTGGACTGTAAGTATCACACACCAATTCTTTTGTTCCTTCGTTCTGTAAATAAGTTGATATTTGTTAGGAATTTGGGGCTTTTGAAAAACAAATACACCAGGAGAAATTGCACTTATTTTACTACACTAGGGATTATATAGCTACATACGAAATTTCATGCATATCAGTTAATATCTTGACCCTCCTCCATGAAAATAGCTGTTTACTTGGCCGTTTTCCTATGTCATGAAGGCTGAAATTTTGACAAAGCACGTGCCTTTGCTAGACTCTTTTCGGGCACCTGCTAAAAGCATTCTTCTTTA